GCATCAGGCACCAGGGGAGATGATGGAGCAAGGAGAGGAGACATGACAGCAGAGAGAAAAGGTAAAGGTTTATAAAATATTTATTAATAACATGGTATGCTGCCCATGGCCAGTTTGTTTGCGCCCCATGGTGCAGTTTGGGTTTATGTGGGGATCAACACGTGGCCGGCGAGTGGGAGCCAAAACAAAAAATTAGTCAATGTAATGATCTTCTGTTGATGTGTGTTTTAGTAGCTAAATTCTTGCACTGCCATTGCTCATGAAAAGTGCTGTCACATGGGTAGAAATCGGGTAAATATAGCATTTTATTAATATCAGCAGAACTGACTTAAATGGGGCCTGTGTGTTGTGTAGTTTTGCCTTAATCTTTGTATTCATGCTTCTCAGTGTGAGAGAAGCTTTTGTATATATTTGATTGCATATGTAACCACACTTAAGTTGAGGCTCTCAGCATGTTCTGTAAGTATCAGTGTGGCTTCTGGGGCTTCCAAAGTTGAGTTCCCCTAGCTCATCCCTGACAGGTCTCTGTCTAACCTCGTCTTAAATATCTCCAGTGATGGAGATTCCTCAATCTCCCTAGGCAATTTATTCCAGTGTTTAACCATCCTGACAGGCAGGAAGTTTTTCCTAATGTCCAACCTAAACCTCCCTTTCTGCAATGTAAGCCCATTGCTTCTCATCCTAACCTCAGAGGCCAAGCAGAACAATTTTTCTTCCTCCTCCTTATGATACTCTTTTAGATACTTGATACTTCCAACTCTCCTCAGTTGTTTTTCCCTTCAGTCTTGCTTCCCATGGGACCTTACCTACAAGTTCTCTGAGCTTATCAAAATCTGCCTTCCTGAAATCCATTACCTCAATTGTGCTGGTCTCCCTTCTACCTTTCCTTAAGATCATGAACTCTATTATTTCGTGATCACTGTCCCCTATACTGTCTTCCACTTTCAAGTTCTCAACTAGTTCCTCCCTATTTGTTAAAACCAAATCCAGAACAGCTTCTCCTCTGGTAGCTTTTTCAACCTTCTGAAACAGAAAGTTGTCTCCAATGCAGTCCAGAAACTTATTGGATAGCCTGTGCCTCGCTGTGTTAGTTTCCCAACATATGTCTGGATAGTTGAAGTCTCCCATCACCACCAAATCTTGGGCTTTGGATAGTTTTGTTAATTGTTTAAAAAAGGCCTCATCCACCTCTTCCACCTGGCTAGGTGGCCTGTAGTAGACTCCTAGCATGATATCACCCTCGTTTTTTACCCCTTTTAGCTTAACCCAGAGACTCTCTACACAGCTATCTCCTACGTTCATCTCCACTTCAGTCCAAGTGTGTACATTTTTAATATACAAGGCAACCCCTCCTCCCTTTTTTCCCTGTCTGTCCTTCCTGAGCAAGCCGTACCCTTCCATACCAACATTCCAATCGTGCGTCCCTCTGGGCAGTTGCAAAAGTTGGAGAGGGGATGGAAGGCAGATCCAAGATCAATGAGCCCTGGGAAGTGGGCCCATTGAAAGGAGACTGGACCTGTGGATGCCTTAGAGGTCAGCAGCAAGGGCCTGCTTTAGGAAGCCCCCTCTTTAGAGGTGAATGGGGCAGCATTGAGACACCACCCAGAAGCAGGCGCCACAGACACTAACTTCAGATTCATGGGACATCTCTCACAGATCTTGCACACGCATAAGATGATAGATCTGCAGGAAGGGGAGCAGTGGCGTAGTGAGGGGGCCAGTGGCATCAGATGCCCCTGGGAGAAAAACAATATAAAATTTAGCTAAAAATAGATGTCACACATTTTAAAAAGGAATACCATATATCCTGCCTTTTGTCTCTTTAGGTCCCAAGTTAAAATTTTCAAAAGCACATGAGTGACTAAAATATTTTTTGATAATTGGACTTGGAAATCTAAGCTCAGATTTTCAAAGGTAATTAAGCTCCTAAAGAGACAGATGCCATCTCGGATCTTCAAAGATATCTATCTGATCTTTACACAGCTTTGAAAATCTGGTCAGAAGTGTCCTAGTTAGTTTTGAACGTGAGATGTAGGAGCCCAGTCCTAATTCCTTCAGGCTTTTTTTTTTTTTAATTTCAACATTTATCTACACTAATTCCCCTCCTTTCTCTTTCACTATCCAATAAATGCATGGATCAAAATTATAGGTGCTTTGTGACTATGCTGACTTGAGAGTGGAAAGATTTCATATTGTCATGTGTGATTCCTGGTAACCCATTTCAAATCTGAAAAACTAGGTTGATTCCTGTTCATATCAGGAGCTGTTGAATTCAGTTTACCATTTGCAGTATCTCATTAGGATGTTTAGTGGAGAAGATACTATTTTTTAAAATTTATTTATACTGTGGGCTCACAAGAATTCCTCCATTGTTTTACCATGAGTCTCAAAACATTTGGTGTTTTTCTAAAGACCTGGAGTCAATTGATTATGTAGGAATCTCAGCTTTCATTTAAAAAAAAGTTATCTATACTTCTGGGCCTTACAGCTAAGAAGGAAAGCTTTAAAACATGAACCCTAAATACTCAAACAAAAGGCCAATACAAATCCAACATGTTTTATTTTTTTTAAAATCTTATGATTTGTAGACCAGTCTCATAACTTTGTGTAGGCATTCCTTGTGATTTTTGGGTTGGCAATACTGCTCTTTGATTGGTGAATTTAGAGAGGTCTCTCCCTTCAGTTTCCCTTTCCACCTTCCTTTTTTGTCACAGGTCATCAGAGAATCATAGAGACAATGGAGAGTAGGGTGAGTCCATGACTATGGTTAATGACTGGTCAGGGTGACTAACTATTATCAGCCAGTGGTCTGAATGAGCTATCTACTGCCATCTGTTAATCAACTGTAGGAAAAGGCTTCACGAGCAGACATTATTTATATAGACATACCTACTTTGCCACAGAGATCAGTAGACACACTTGCTGTGTCAGGGTTCTCAATTTTGGCTCTTTTGGGTCGAAATTCACTTAAGACTTTGAGCTGGGAGAATGAAATGTTGTAATCCATATTATATGATTAAGAGGTAAAAGACCTGAACTTAATATGACCTGTCTTAGAATCTACCATAACTTGAACACTAAGCAGAGGATAGTGAGTCACATCTAACTGAAAGTCACAGAAGATGGAAACAGGTTTTATTTCTGGTGGTGTAGAGTCTATTTGGGAGTCCTCAGTTATATCTGACACTTTACATCCAGTGTTTAAAGGCAGAGCTGACTAGAGTCCTTGTCTTGTCTCAGTGATCACTTGAGCAAAAATCATTGATAAAATCTTGTGTAGACTGACCTTGGACTCAACATGCAGGCAATATGTGTTGAAGGGTAGTGCAAAGGAGGCAATGGTGGTGAGGTACCATGTTACCTAGTGAAATCAGTGGTGCTGAAATCATTAAGGACTGGAATTTGACCACAGAACTGACACTTTCTTAACAAAGACTCAATTTTTGCTATTTAAAAAGTAAATCGATGTAACAGAAAACTGCAACACTCTCTGGTAACTTTTTAAAAATCAAGCTTTTAACTTTATTGAAAAGACTGGATAGTTTGCAATTGAAAATATTTGACCTACACTTAAGGCAACTGATTTAATTTTGTGTAAAATTTTGTGCAAAATTAAGTAAAGGATGGCATTATTTTAAATGTTCAGCTATATTGATATACATTTTGATCAGATCTACTTCTGATGTGATATTTGTGTGTGGCTGTGGTTTGTTGTGTGAGTGCATTTTTTTTTCCGATCAACAAAAAATCTTGGGGGGGGGCGCCCTGTTCGAATTGGTCCCCGCACTTGCTAAGGCCGGCCCTGGTCAGGGTAGTCAAACACTGGAATAAATTGCCCAAGGAGGTTGTGGAATCTCCATCTAATGTCTATCAGGGATCGTCTAGACAGTATTTGGTCCTGCCATGAGGGCAGGGAACTGGACTCGATGACCTCTCGAGGTCTCTTCCAGTCCTAGTATTCTATGATTATCGTAATACTGTTCTAAAGGAATTTTACAGTGGAAAAGCAGTATTATTTAAATGAGACTAAATATTAGTAGTCATGAGTTCTGGTTCCTGTTCCTTTTTCTTACTGATTCACTGACTGACCTTTCCACTTAACTTATCTGTGCATAAATTTCCCTATCTGTAAAATTAGGTTAATAGCATTTTGCTTAATGTGATATTGTAAATAGGGATGTCAGCCATCAGGTGACTACATGAATAACTGATAAGTCTGAGTTTATTGGTTAATCCTGTTGACTACACACACTCCCCTGCCTCGCTGTGTGGTGGGGAATGAGGAGTAGAATCTGGTGCCTGTGAGGAGCTGGCTTTTAAGCCGGCTCCCCATGAGCACTTGATCCTGTGGAACTGCCCTCCTCTCTCCACCCCACACTGTCGTGTCTGGACAGGCAGCAGCGCTAAGGGTGGAGGAAGCGCTGATACAGAGGCAGCAGCATGGGATGGCAGGGGGCTCCCCGGGAGTGGGTCCAAGAACTCACTGGCTGCTGCCCCCGCCATCAGGGACTATTGAAGAGTTGTGTAACTGCTCAAATTGGATGAGGTTACACGACTACTTCAATTACTTGCTATCTAACATCCCTAGTTGTAAGGTTTACTTAATGTTTCGAAAGTGCTTTGAAAATGTGTACAAAAGAGTCTACATACATGAAAAATATGTTGACAATAAGAAAATATATTACAAAAGGTATGTAAAGTGAATAGAATAGTAAAATCATAAGACTGGAAGGGTCAAGAATCCTCATAGTCCAGTACGCTTCAATCAGGGCAAATCTAAGTTTTTATGTAGACCATCCTTGGTGGCTGTTGGTTTAATCTGTTCTTTATAGAATCTGTCATTGGAGAGTTCTGTCTCCTTGTGCAATTCATTCCATTGCTTAATTGCCCAGACAGATAGGAAGTTTTTCTTCTGTCTAACATAAAAAGTTGTTACAAGGAGGGAGGTTTATGTACTTGAAAACTGTTCATGTCCTCTCTGTCTTCTCTTCTCTTGACTAAACAAACTCATTTTCTTCAGTTCTTTATACACAGAGCCATTCCCACCTATTGGACAGCTGCCTTGGACCCCAGGCTTTGGGGGCAGGGGGGTTCCACAGGGCCCAGGGCGACCTGGAGATTTACCGGGAGGCCTGCCCCTTCATTCACCAGATGTGATGGGAGCTGCAGGAAGTGGAGTGACCCAACTCCAGACTGCTCCGCTCCATCATTTTCCAGCTGGGTTACTCCACTTCTCAGCAGTGACAGGAAATGGAGCGTCCCAGTCCCAGCCTGCTTCACACCCCAGAGTAATGCAGCTGGGAGCCAAGCTCAGGGCAGCACATCAGATTGGGACCAAATTTCTGTGCTTCCCGCCGCGATGGTGAGTCCAGCCCCTGCTGCCAGCACCAGACCCTCCCAACCCCAGTAACAGTAATCCCATGGGTCATGTTGCTTGGGGAGGAGTTTTGGGAGTAGGGGTGGTGCAGTAGGGTGGAGCAGGGGTGGAAAGGGGCAGGGCTTGGGGAAAGAGGTGGTGTGGGCAGAAGCGGGGGTCTCCGGGGCCCCATGCCCCTCTGCGGATGGTACTATTTATAGCACCTGTTTCCTAGAACTTTAATCATTTTTGTTGCTCTTGTCTGGACTTTTTCTAATTTGTCGACATCATTCCTGAAATGTGACACCCAGATTAAAGGCAGTACTCCATCTGAGGCCTAATCAGAAGAGAGTAGAGCACCATTATTTTTTGTATCTTACAACAGTCCTGCTAATATCCCCCCAGAATGTTTGCTTCCCCCCCCATCACTGTTGCACTGTTGATTCATTTAGTGTGTGATCCACTGTGTTGCCTAGATCCCTTTCCATAGTAGTCCTTCCTGGACTTCATTTCTCACTTTTTGTGTGTGCAACTGATTATTCCTTCCTAATTGGAACACTTTGCATTTGTTCCTACTGCATTTCATCCTGTTTACTTCAGAAGATTTCTCCAGTTTCTGTAGATCATTTTGAATTTTAATCCCATCCAAAGCTCTTGCAACCCCTCTTAGCTTGGTATTGTCTGCAAACTTTATAAATGTATATACAGATTTATAATTAATTGAGAGACCATCAGTTTACTTTGTATTTCATGTATTTTGAGTATCTGAATTTTAAAATAAAATTACACACCCAACTCCTAAAATAATGCTGAAAAGAGCCAGCCACAAACTTCAACTGTGTTGGACAGAAATTTCTTCTGATCCCTGTGGAACCCCACTTGTTACGCCATTCCAGCATGATTGTGAACCATAAATAACTACTCTCTGAAAATGATTATCCAGCCAGCTATGCACCTACTTTACAGTATGTCCATCTGGGCTGTATTTCCCTAGCTTATTGATAAGAAGGTCATACGAAATAGTACATGCTTTACTAAAATCTAGATATACCATGTCCACCACTTCTCTCTTATCTTTAAGGCTGATTTCCGATAAGGAGGTCATACGAAATAGTAAATGCTTTACTAAAATCTAGATATACCATGTCCACCACTTCTCTCTTATCTTTAAGGCTGATTTCGTATCAAATAAAGTTATCTGATCGGTTTGACATGATTTGTCCTTTACAAAATGCATGCTGGCTGTTACCTATCACCTTATGTTTTTCCAGATGTTTGCAGGTGAATTCCTTAATTACTTGCTCCATTTTCTTTCCTGGCACAGAAATTAAACTGATTTGTCTGTAGTTTCCTGGGTTGTTCTTATTTTCCTTTTTATAGATGGGCACTATATTTGCCCTTTTCCACTCTTCTGGTATCTCTCTTGCCTTCCATGACTTTTCAAAGATGGTAGCTAAAGGCTCAGATACTTCCTCTATCATCTCCTTGAGTATTCTAGGATGCATTTCATCAGGCCCTGGTTACTTGCAGACATCTAACTTTTCTAAGTAATTTTTAACTTGTTCCTTCTTATTTTATCTTCTAAACCTACCCCCTTCCCACTAGCATTCAGTATGTTGGGCATTCCTTTATCATCAGACTTCTTGGTGAAGATTGAAAAGAAGAAGTCATTAAGCACCTCTGCCATTTCCAAGTTTCCTGTTATTGCTCAGTGAAGAGGGAGAAACAATAAAGGGAATAGAAGGTGGCTTGTTATGGAATAAAACTGAGGTGAAGAGACTAGAAGAAAAGGTGACAGGGAGGGTTGGTGCAAGTAGCTAATCATCAGAGAAAGTCCAGTCAAAACTGTAGGAAGTCTTTGCATGTCTAAAGGTTTGTTTTTTGGCTGCTGCTGCTTCTTCCTGGAATCTTAGGCTGGCAGCTCTGTGTATTTTTTTTTTCTCCAAGGCCACGTGATGGGGAAGGGCATACGGGGACATAACACCCCTGAAGTGAGGACCTAGCATCCCTGGAGTTGGTCTCCCTTCCACATTTGTGTGTGTTGGGGGAGGGGTGACCCTGGATGGACCATATTTTACCCCTATTTCCCTGCTGCAGTGCAGCAGTTCCTGTTTTAGCTACCCTCTGGAGTCTTTGGCTGGCTCTTCCCTGCAATTTTTCTCCAAGGCCACACTAAAACACTTAATAATTATAATTTTTTTCTTCACAGAATATTGAATCATGTTTGTTCCAAGGTCTCTGAAAGTCAAGAGAAATGCTGATGATGAGCAAAGCTGTGCATTAAAAAAAGAAAAGTTGTCTTCTGGAGAACCCTCGTTAGTGGAGACCACAGACTTAAGAGATGTTAAGGGATCTATAAAAGATACTTCTGCGTCAGAATGCCATGTATATAAAGCAGTACAAGAATGCACAGAGCTACGCATGTCTCCAGATTCAGATTTCCCCTTTGCTGTCGAATCTTTGGGAAGTGACAACCAAAATGTAGAAGAAGACATTTCCTCTGTGGATGAACCCATTAAATCTTTCAGCAAATCCCAACGGTGGGCAGAACCGGGAGAACCTAAATGTGTTGTTTGTGGTCGTTATGGAGAATATATTTGTGATAAAACAGATGAAGATATTTGTAGCTTGGAATGTAAAGCCAAACATCTTTTACAAGCTAAAGAAAAGGAAGAAAGTTTAAACTCTGACAGTCTTGTGAAAATAGAATCGAAACCAGAAGCTCCTTTGCCCATCACCCTTTATGCCTATAAAGAACATTCCTTTATTTTAAGCCTGCAAGATGACCAGATCAAGAACCTTAAATTGCAATTAGGTATTGCTGTCCATGGTGATGGAGTTACAAGACCTATTTTAGAATTTGAACACTGTGGTTTTCCTGAAACTTTAAACTATAATTTAAAAAATTCAGGCTATGAAGTTCCAACCCCTATCCAGATGCAAATGATTCCTGTTGGACTTTTGGGAAGGGATATTGTGGCCAGTGCAAACACAGGCTCTGGAAAAACTGCAGCTTTCCTGCTTCCAGTTATTGTTAAAGCCTTGGAAGAGGTAATTGATGTTTAGAGAGGTAATTAAAGTTTAAGTATATACTCAGAAAGAGGTGAGAATCTTAATGACTCCACAGTTCTCAGTGTAATTACAAATGGCAGTCATTTGTATTGAAGCTCACTAGTTTATTTTTTTAATCCCACTCCCAGCACTGTGACCATTTTCTGTTTGGCAGAAAATAGTTTGTTCATGAGCATTAATGTACTTGCAGTTTCATTTTGTTCACAAAAAGTAATCTATTGGAAAGACATTTCTGGTGGGTTTTTTCCAATTTTGTAGTTTTCCTTTTCCCAGTAACTCAGTAATTCATTGCTAATATCCCAGCATGCATCATTCTGTGAAATCATAAATACCACCAGGGCATTACAGACATCCTAATAGTCTTGTGATATCACAGATGAATTCAGGCTGTGATGTCTTCAGCTAAACAGCAAATATCCAGAGGAACTCGGAGGATAAAATAATTTTGAAAAGTTAGGTAAAACTTATTTCTGCACTGATTGCTCCTCATAACGTCATCAAAAGGGGCCCATCAGCAGGGTTGCCTCTAAGCTGCACAGCTGCCTGGTAAGACCTGTGCAGGGGCTCAGGGCTGCTGTACACAGAGCTGCTGCGACAGCTCCCTGCTGGGTCCAGAGGAACGCACTCTGCCAGTCATGGTAATCCCAGCTGGGGCTGGAGGAGCACATTTCTCTGCTGGTCACGGCAGTTCCTTGCTGGAGCTGGCAAAGCATGCTTCTCCCCTAGCTGCAGCAGCTCCATTTAAATCAAAGAGTCTCAGTAACTCAAGAAGTGTGTTTTTTGTCTTTAATACATTATGGTTTATTTATCATCTGGTGACTTTGCGAGTGACATATGGAAAACTTTATCTCAATAACTTGTTAATTTTTATGATGATAAAGTTTGGCTATTATTGGCTGGGAAATGGCTTCACTTTTTCAAGTAATTGGTGACAGCTTAGGGTTTGATGACCCAGAATGCTCAGAGTCACCATAGTTCTTTGAGTATTACCTTTATGGGTACTCCACTTCAGTGGCACATGTGCCTCTCAATCAGAGCTTTTCAGTTAGTAATGTTCTTTCAACCTGTGCATGTGCCTTCGGCTCCTTTGCTAGACACACAGGCTGTATAGATGTATGCTAGCAAACTGGCCTTCAGTTCTTTCTCAACTGCCTCAGCCTGAGAAGGCATCTTAAGTGTGTCTGCTTCAAGCATGCTGCTTCATCTTTTCTATTTTTTTCTATAGTTGACCAAATAATTAGTATAGATAAACCTAGATAAGAAGTGAGAGCGTTGTTCTTCTTCCTCTCCCTCTTCCCAATAGTCACATGGAAGAGTCTTATCAAGTGGAAACCAACCCACTCTAACTTCCATATGGGGCTCCCAAGTGGCCACACTGGGGCTTCCGTGATGCTTATTGGCAGCAGTTTGCAGAGCACTTATATCAGTGGTTCCCAACCTTTTGGGGCTGCTGGGCGCCCGGGGAGCAGGGCCGCGCACGCACCGTGCTCACGGGGGCGGGGCTGCCCATGTGCCCCGGGGCCGGCACCGCGCATGTGCCGTGCGCCCGGGGCAGGGGCCACTCATGTGCTGCGCTTGGGGCTGGCACCACGCATGCTCTGCGTGCCGAGGGCGGGGCCGGCCCAGATCATTTGGCGGGTGCACATAAATGCCCTGGCGGGCGCCATGGCAGAAACCACTGATCTATATTGTTTCATGGGAAGGCTAAAGTAGCACAGCCCTCTTTTTCCCCCACACGCACAGAGACCTTTGAAGACCAGGAATCCAGGGTGCTTAAAGAGGTCACCTCTCAAACACTCTTCTCTGGATGTGGTGGTTATACCTCCACCACCATCCGTTGCCAGAGATTTTCAGCAATTTCAAGATGTCCTAAAAAGGCCAGCAAATATCTCTTCAAATCAGGGATTGACAGTACAAACAGTTAGATATCCTGTGGTTAGCAACAGCTTCCAGGGTGGCATTACTCATTAACAAGATATTCCTAGACCCATCTAATAAAAATGTATGTCAGACACCTGTCTCTGTTCTCACTATATGTAAATAGGCAGGTAAATAGTACAGGTTGGACATCTCTTATCAGCACCTGAGCGGTCCCAAACGAGGGAATTTGCCTGACGAGAGATGGTTTCCTGCCACAGGCCCCAGCTGCTGACTCTACCAGCGTGAGGCAGAGGGACTCGCTCTAGCCCCTGCCGGGTTGCCTGCTGGGTCGCTGACACTACTGCTGCTGCTGGAGCCAGACTGCCTGCCTGGCTCCAGCAGCCTGTGCTACCACGGGTTGCTGGGGGCTGGCTCTGGCCCTGATTGGGCTGCTAGTCCCAGCCCTGCGGGCTCTGACCCCACTTCTGTGGGCTACCCAGTGCTCTGGCCCCACGCTGCCATGGACTGCTGGGACTTTCTCCAGACCCTCTGCTGTGGGCCACTGAGAGCACAGGCTCCTGCCTCACTGCAGCCCATAGACTCTGGCCCTGCTTCTGTGGGCTGTCCAGGGCTCCAGCTCCATGTTGCTGGGGGCTGCCACCAGCCCCCGACTTGGTCCCGTTTTAACAGGCTGCCCAGGGCTCTGGCTCTGGCTCTGGCCCCGGCCCCCCCACTGCCATGTTGCTGGGGGCTGCCACCAGCCCCCGACTTGGTCCCGTTTTAACAGGCTGCCCAGGGCTCTGGCCCCGGCCCCCCCACTGCCACGAACTGTCACCAGCTTGATCCTGTGCTGCTGGGGGCTGCCCTGACCTGGTCCCATTGCCGCAGGCTGTCGGGCTGCCTCCGCTCCTGCCGAGTCCTGCTGCTTCAACTCTGCCCCTACTGGATTGCCTTCCTAGCAGTAGGCTGCAGGGGTTCTCTGATCCAGGAATGTCCTTGGTTCTGCCGGACCATGGATATTGCCAGACCAGAGAATTCCACTTTTGGGAGGTGCATCCTGTAATATGTTCCCATTTTGTTCTCCCATGCTCCACCTAACTCCCCAGTGGTTTTGTGTATGAAGTAAATGAGCATGACAGACTGTCTTCAGTCCCATTGTGTCTCCCCTCTACCCCCCACAGTAAGATAAAGGCTAGAAGACACTGCATCACTTTGGGCAAGAGAGAAATGGCAGCAGTGGCAGCAAAAGCAATCATAGTTTTCCCATACTTTGCTGACTGAATTCTCAAAGGAAACCTTACATCCTTCAGTAAAAGGATTCTCCATTTGTTCCCCTGATATTGACTACATTGTTAAATAGGGTAATATAGTTTTCCAAGGATATAAAGCTACTTTTTTAAAAGAGTAATTGCAGTTTGAATAAACACATTCTACAAAAAGACTATTGTCTATTGATAAACGTGTCCTTGTAATTGTAATTTTGGAAAAAAACAAGTTAGATAAATATTTTCAGGCCTACACAAGTGTGATATTTCTAGTTTCATAGCTGTATTATTTATATGATAGACTAAATGAAATTATAGCTTCACCATATTGTAATGTACATACATAGTGTGATCAAGGTAATTCTAGTTTTTGGTTAATTTCTGGTTCAATTATCTCTTAATGCTAATAAGGGAATAAGGACATATCTAAGAGAATTTTTCTAGTTTCCTGTTTAAGGCTTGGCCCGCGTCCTATCCTTAGAATCAATTTTAATATTGAGAAAAGCAGTTAAAGGATGCTTTGATTCAAAAGACAGAAGTGATGCATTTATGACCTGATAAAATTAATAAAATGCATTATAAACCATGTAAGTCTCTGTTTTAGTATTTTCTTTAAAAAAAGAAAATGCGCTGATTTGGTTTGAATATTCTAGACCTGATTCTCTTTGACTATAAAAGTATGTCTGCTCAGCAAAGGGAAACATGCAGCTGACTCAGGCTTGTGAAGCTGCTTTACTGCTGTGTAGATTTCTAGGGCCAGACTGGAGGCCGCGCTCTGGGACCCCCACCACCAACCTGGCAGGGTCCTAGAGCTTTGTCTCCAGCTCAAACCCAGAAATCTATAAAGCAGTGAAATGACCCTACATTCCAAATCCCACAAGCCCAAGTCTGTTGGCATGGGCCTGCCACAGGTTATTCTTCTCTATGTGGATGTACCCTAACACAGTACTCTGGTGTGTAAAGGAGCTTTGAAGTTGGTATAAATTACATTGCACTCCCTGCCAGAACAGTGCAAATGAAGCTTGATGTCAGAATAATTTATCCTTTAGTTGAATATTAGAGTTGGCTCTATGAATGGTTTTAGTAAGCTCTTTATTAGCTTTTTAGTTGAAAAATGATTATACTACATAACTATGTCACTATATAAAGATTTATGTTAGACTTTCGCCTAAGAAAGAAGTAGTTCTGTGGTGGATAGAAGCTTTTCTTTTTTTTTCCTTTTTAAGACTAAAACTCCATCTGCACTTATTTTGACACCAACAAGAGAATTAGCAATTCAGATAGAGAGACAAGCTAAAGAGTTGATGATTGGTCTGCCAAACATGAGAACAGTCCTTCTTGTAGGTGGTCTACCACTACCACCCCAACTTCATCGTCTAAAACAAACTGTTAAGGTAAGAACTATTGTGTGAAAGAGTCCTTTGAAGAAAGATGTTTTTATGGCATCTGTAGAAAATAAAAACTGATTATTTAATTCTTGATTTAAATTGAACGAGCATTTTCTTTGCCAATGGCATCCAACCTTATTACACAGGAAGACCGTATAAACTGAAGCATAACTTACTGTGGCCAAACAGATTCTACTAGAGATGTTAGGGTATAACTGATTAACTGTTTAACTGATAAGCTGATGGTTAATGGTATCGATTACACTCATCCGGCTCTCAGGGAGGCAACTTGCCTTCACTTGCATGCTGCAGCAACTTTCCTGGAAGCCGGGTGGGCAAGGGCTGAGTGACAGGGAGGAGGCTTCACTGCAGCAGCATGGAGTCTGTCTCATGATCCTGCAGGGCTGCTGGCTGTGAGCTACCTAGATAAGCACCTCCCAGCCAGAGCTCCCATATCACAACTCCCTGCCCCAGGTCAGAAAATCCTTTTTTCCCCCAGGTCACCACCCAAACCCTCTGCACACTTCCTACTGCAGGTCACAACTCCCAAACCCTGCACCCTCTCCTATACCCCTCCCCCATGCCAGAACATTCTCCAGCACCCCAATCCCCTGCCCCAGATCCCCATCCCCTCCTTCACCCAAACTCCCTCTCGGATGGATCCCAGGCCCCTATCCCAAGCTTCCTTCTGCACCCAACCTCCACCCCAGACCCTGCACTCCACAGAAAATTGCAGCCCTTGACCACTCTTGGAGTAGACCCCCATCAAAAATTATTGCCCATCCCTGCTCTACATAGTGAATTTAGATCCTTAGAAGTAAAAATTAGCTCTTGTATAGTTTATACGTGTGAAACATTTATGTATATCCTTCTCAATTTCACACACAGAGAATAATATTTCAAAATTATTTCTCTTTATATTTTTGCTACTTTCAAAGGGTACAGTTTGCCACATACTTAGGTGACATTATAATTTACAACAGGAAATGCATTAGTTCCTTGATTTTAGAATTTTTATTTTTCTGGCGTGGAATACACTTCAGGCAAGTTTTACGTATCATTTTCAGAGAGCTAGTTGTTCCATTTGCTTTCAGATACAACTTTGAAGAAACAGGTACAGGAATTTCAAGTGTCTGCATTTGAGCTTAAATAATTAAACACATTTTTTAAAAAATACATAAAGATAATACACAGATGATAAACAAAGATAAATAATGATTAAAAATACTCATCCAACATTTTCTGTCCCCACTAAAAACCAAAACAGAAAGCTTGCATTTTTGTCCTCCAGGCCTTGCAAGTGCTCATCTCAAACATAGTGGTATTTTTTTCAAAACCTGAATACATTTTTCTTACAGTATTAACTCATATTAGCTTGCTTTTCTAATATTTTGCTTTCTTCCGATAGGTTATAATAGCAACACCCGGAAGACTCTTAGATATTTTAAAACAAAGCTTTGTTCAGCTCCATGGTATCAAAATCGTAGTTGTGGATGAAGTAAGTGTATATAAAATTAAATATTGCAATTAGAAATAAGTGTTATCAAAATATAATAATGGCCACTTTTAGAGCTTTCATATTTGACTGTTAATTAACAAGTGACTGCCTAATATAAGCCCTGACCTAGCAAAGCGCTAAAGTTTGTGTGTAGTCCCACTGACTTCCTCTGAATTTTGAATATGCATTAAAGTTAATCCTATGGTTTCATGCTTTGCTGGATCAAGGCCATAACACTTAATAAATGGTTTAACTGAAGTCCTAGGTGAGGTGATTGGTCTGCCCAACTATGCATACAATATGTTCATTAAAATACAGTTAATACTTCTCAGGGTTAAGCATCTTTTACAGAACATTAAAATTGCTTTTTAAGTAACATACTGAAGGCTGTAGTCTTCTCTTAGATTACATAGCTGACAGGAGCATAAACTCTGCTACAATGCTCTGTGGAATGTCAACAGAATAACAGTCTCTCTCTTCATGGTTTTTCTGGTTTTCATATGGTGACAGTGTTGCTATGCTAGTGCCGATTATGTCAGTTAAAGAACAATATGTGATTGTAAGAGCTTTCTTGTGTCTTTTTGTATATTATACCTACAATTATTTTTTTTAAATCACATGGTCTTAAATTAATATTTTTATTTAGGCTGATACCATGTTAAAGATGGGCTTCCAGCAACAAGTGCTGGATATTTTGGAAAACATCTCCAGGGATCGTCAGACTATGTTGGTTTCAGCCACAATTCCAGTGGGCATCGAGCAGTTAGCAAATCAGCTTCTGCAGAATCCTGTGAGAATAAGCATTGGAGAAAAGAATCTACCATGTTCCAATGTTCGCCAGATTATCTTGTGGGTAGAAGAACCATCTAAAAAGAAAAAACTATTTGAAATATTAAATGTTAGTATAATATTTTATTTAGCAAATTATTTCTATGTTTGTAATGAAAATTTAATTTATTTAGTTTAATTTCTCTCTTGGTTATTTAAGAGAAATACGTGTGAGGAAAGCAAGAGCAGTAATGCACAGTAAATTAACTACATCACCAAGTTCAAGAATGTCTCCATGGGGGTTCCCTAATAAAACAAAAAGACTGTCATTTACAATGCCATTAAAAGATTGCTAGATTACTTCATTTAACCTAATTCTATTGAAACTTCACCAGAAAATAATAAACCAACCCTCTGCCCTCCCGTGCTCTCACTAGATGCCCCAAAAAAGTAGGCCTTAATCTTCATAGTAATTCTAGGCTTTCTCTTGTGAGCAATCTTAGCTGCAGTTCTGTAAGAGATGGATATGTGAATTTAACTGAATCTGAGATCTATTTTGCATTTTTAAGTCACCATTTTTTTTATTTAAAACACAACTTCTGAAACATTATTTTTTTTAAGTTGTCAGTACAAACTAGAGACCTGATTTTACAAACCCTTTTGCACATTTTTAACTTGACTTGTGAGTAAAATTACACATTTATGCAAATTTTTGCAAGATTAGGGCATCCTTTGTATTAGGAGTTTGGGAGGAGGGTTTTTTTAAATTAATAAGCTTGTTTCATTCTAAGGTATACAATCTATTAAAAATAAAATGAGCAGCTCTAAATAAATAGTTGTGGTTGCCCAGTAATAAACTGTGCTGATACAGGGTTAATACACCTATATTAATTTTACAGGACAAGAAACTCTTCAAACCTCCAGTGTTGGTATTTGTGGATTGCAAGCTAGGAGCAGATCTTCTGAGTGATGCTGTTCATAAAATCACAGGATTACAATGCATATCCATGCATTCTGATAAATCACAAACTGAAAGGATAAATATATTGCAGGTGTGTTTCTTCCTGCAATAAAGATCTCTATCATGATAAAACATTACATCTTATTTTTAAAATAGTTTTAATGAGTTAGTAAAGTAGGCATCTTGTTGTGGTCTGTCGCTTATAAAGCTTCTGACTAATTTCAGATATCATTAGGTTTAATGGTGTTTTTTTTTTAACTCTAGGCACAATTTTAATTCTTCAGAATATTGTTCTTTGTAGTGAAAGAAATGCATTGTTATAGTACTTATCTCTGTCTTACATTACTGAGTTTTCACAGTGAATGCTAAAGTGCATGAAAAACTGAAATGAAAGCACAGGTTGTATTTTTGCTAATAAGTCAAAAAGTATCTATTTTAAATATTCTTGATTATAGATTATTCTATTGGTTTAAAATGTAAATTGACTTGTACATTAGTCTGTAGCTGCTTTTGTGTCTTGCAGAAATGATGTTTTGTATCATTTTAAGTAGGACTCAGTGAATCACAAAATTTTATTTTCGTGTCCCCTACATAAATCTAGAATACAACAGAGCTCTGTTTTTCTCCTTTCTTCAGCAGCATTTTGATGCTGGTCTTTAAATGAATCAACTGTATCTTGCTCTTCTACAGTAGTTCTCAGAAAGGACTTGTAAGGGGAAAAAAAGCATATGTTGAAAGTAATTACAAGTTATTTTTCCCACCCCAGGGATTATTTGAAGAAAAATATGAAGTTGTAGTAAGCACTGGAGTACTTGGCCGAGGGCTTGACCTTGTCAACGTCAAACTGGTCGTAAATTTTGATATGCCCTCAAGTATGGATGAATATGTACATCAGGTAAAGAGATATGTGTATCTTAAACACTACAAGAGATATTTCTTAATACATTGTTGGAAAAGTAAAACAATACCATACATGATCTGAACTGAAAGATGCAAGCATGTGGTAGATGTGCCTCCAGAAAAGTTCTGTTCAGGAGAGGAGGAAGAACGGAATCCTGAAGAGTCTCTCCTTCATCCTATGCAAGAAACATCAAACCTTTGGTCTAAATTGAAGGAGGAACACTCAAAAACAATGTCTTTATTTGCCTATGCCAATGGTGTTTATACAGCTCTCCCTCTGCACCTAAATGTGAAATAGTATCTCTGTTCCTTTACCTTTGTGAAGCATATGTGTATACTAAACATTTCTTTTTTTCTTTATTAAAAACTGAAAGTAATAATGAATGGGAACTCTGCTTATTCATGTTGTAATATTTGATGTTTTGTCTAATTCCAGTATATTGGATCTCAATACACTTGTGAAATAACTGAGAGCTAGCAGAGCATTCAGTGTACTGACTTGCTCATGACAATACTATATATCCAGTTTGATGTAAGAATAACCAGTATGCAGTTTTGTTGCAACAAAAATAGATTAAGAGTTTAAGCAGGCTTCTTTTATTCTGGAGGGAATTAGATTACTATTTCTAATTTAAAATAAACTTCGTTTTCATTTGCAGATTGGAAGAGCAGGGAGGCTGGGTCACAATGGAACTGCAATTACTTTTATTAATAACAACAGCAAGAAGCTTTTTTGGGATGTTGTAAAGAGAGTAAAACCAACAGGCACCATTCTTCCTCCACAGTTGCTAAATTCACCTTATCTTCATGACCAAAAGAGAAAAGAACAAGAGAGAGCAAAACAATCACAAAATAGTCTTGTAACGGGTGACAATCTTATGGACATTATTAGAAAACACGACAAAAGTAATTCTCACAAGTGATTAATGTATTATATTTGTAAATATGTAAGTATAATGAAAGCACTGTATTTCTGTAAAAATTAAGCATGAATTTATATAATTGGTATAAGATCTGACATTTATTTTTAAAAACATTTAACTTTTTTTCTGGTGAACTCTTGAAACTCATTTTTATTATAGTGTTTCATCTAAAAGTGTATTCCAAATTTAAAAATTGCACTTCAGCCCAAATTTTTTTGAGACTATTACAAGTAACATCTAAAAGCATTTTTTTTCAATTTATTTACTTTGTGAGACAGACATCTATATAGTTATTTTCATTTTTTTGCATTAAATATATAACCTTTTTCATTGTTTCTGTGGGGCTTTTGGATTGCAGTGGAAGAGAGGCATACTTTTAAAACAGGAAAATTTGATTGCAAAACTAAAAATTGGCAGGGGCACGTTTACTATCTGCAGATATTTTTAACTGCTCAGTTAACTATGTTTTAAGTTAATGTCGTTTTAGCCCTCAAACGTCTCTAATTTTCCTCTCTACTGGGTACCCCACAGGTTTCATCGATGGGTCATAATGAATTATTAAACATGAATATTTTTTTTCTTCCTATCTCATGTCTGAAACCAGCAAAAAATCCTGATCAAGTAATCCACAACATGAACAAGATTTTTTTCCTGCTGTCATTGGGCTAGTACGAGATGTGGTTTCTTCAACTTCACAGTAGAAAAATCAGAAAAATTAGAGCTATTAATAAAAACTTGAAATTAAGATAGCGTTCTGTTAATGGGTACATGATTGGGCTGCTAAAGTAGATGTGATACTATGAAAAGAACAGACTCATATAGATTATGAAGGGGAGCAGTTGTCAATTGCTTTTGATCTCAAGAGTATTGAATGAGGTACTCTAGGCTCTGATTTTGTGAACTCTTATGACATACTTAAATTTAAGTACAGTATTCTCATTGGGCCAGATCCTTAATTTGTGTAAATTGTTGTAGAGCCTTTAAAGCAATGACGTTTGACAATTTACACCAGCTGGGGACGTGGCCCATTGACTTCAAGAGGACTACATATATGCTTAAAATATAATGTGCATCCCTCTGTTTGCTGGCTTGGGGCCCTAGCTGCTAAAATTACTGATAGACATCCTATCAACACAGCCTTTTGATTCCCTTCAATAAAAACTCTATTAATTTAACATTTTAAATTCATGTTGTGTTTTAAATTCATGTCCTGCAGTGTGTTTTTTTTTAAAAACCAAGCTGTTTACAGAATAAAGTATCCTGTTTCCATCCTTAATGAAACTTCAGGAGAAAACAGTCCATGTTTGTTTATCCTATTTTATAAAAACACAAGTTTTACCATACTCTGGTATTTTTTCTGAGTGAGTCAGTCTTCAGAATGAATGTTGAATTTGAAAAAGGAAAATTGAAGTCTTATGTAAGCTTGTATAGGCATGTGGATGGGTGTGAAATTATACAGTACATGAAAACAGAAGTTTATGGAAACACTCCCTTTTCCTCTGCAAAGATTAAACGCATATTTGCTACGTAGGCAGATCTTTATTTAGTAGCTGCATTCCTACTAAAGCAACCCTATGGTAGAAGAGAACTCAGATGTAAGTTGTTTTTGTGTCCTATATCTTTTGGTTTATAAAAAGGCACCCTTGCAGGCCTCTGGGCCAGTGGTGGGCAATCTGTGGTCCGTGGGCCACGTGACTCATTGGGGTTCTCTGTGTGATATAAAAGACATTTTGTTTACTGTTGCCCACAGGAAAGGTTGCCAGATTTTTCTGGTTTCCATCCAAGCAGCTTTTTTTTTTTTTCCTATCAGCATTACTAAAGTGACACATGTAAAGAAAGGGTATGTGAAGTGAGGTGAGTGCTGATTGCATACAACCTTGACTGTGAGAGCCATGCTCTCTATCTGCATCCAATCAAAGCATTGCTATGGTTCAATGAGAACACCCCCAAATTCTAGGTGTGTTAGAAAAGTTGGCAAAACAACCCTATTCTGGGGGGGACCATCTTGGTTACGCCAATCTTGTAGCCCACTTGAAGGAAGGAGGGTCGTTCACGCGACCCATTTATGAACCTAGCCTTCACTACTCTAGACACATGTAAAACAATTAAAACTAATGTTGATAAAAGCAAGAAACCAAGCAAACATACAATCTGTTTGATGATGATTCCGGCTCACTCCATGTCATCCCATCAGCCTAAGAGTGGACTAAATAGAGCTTAGTACTGGACCCTGAATCTCAAAGGTCTGAAAAAGCCAGTCTTATCTTGGAAACAAATTTAGATACATCCTTCTGTCTAGGCCACTATAATTCAAATTTAGAGTCTGGTAGCAGAAAGTGCATCCATTGGTCTCAACTGAGGTGAGAAAGAGGAAGAGAGTGATCTCAGAAATTACCAGCAGCCACAATATATAGTGATTTATTGAGAACACAGCACCTTAAATTGCAGTTGGAGACCAATTGGAAGCCATTGCAGTCTCTGATGAGATCGTGATACATGTTCCATTTCCATCCTAACCGACAATTTAAAATTTCTGGAAAGAAATTCCATGCAATAATCCAGTATCAAAGTTACTAAGGCAAGGATACCTTTTTATGTGGTTTACAAAAAAAAGTATTTCCCAATCCTGGATCAGCTGAAATACTATAAAGAATCCTTTCTTAGTGGATCTCTGAAACACAAGTTACAGAAAGGCATCATGGAAGTACGGAGTTTCACCACTGGGCCATCTTGACCTGCTCTAGATGTTGTTCCTCGGCAGTGCTGTCATGTTTTCTCACTTTCCTTGTAATCCCTAGGGATGTAAAATCCCATTTAGTTTAACTGGCTAAACCAGGTAAATGATTAAACGGGTGGGTGACAGGGAGGGAGCTGGTCCTGCAGGCCAGGAGCAGTGGCAGCTCCAGTCTAGTTGCTTACAGACTGGCACTGGGCTGCCAGCTCCCAGGAGTCAGCAGCCACAGAGAAGGAGGGAGGACCACATGGGCTCACAGGCTAGGAATTGGCAGCTTTCCCCCCTCCCTGCACAAGCCTGCCAATTTCTAGCCCAGTAAGAGTGATGGTTACTAGTTAACCTGTTACCCATTCACATCTCCAGTAAGCACCTACCCTCCTATTCATAACATAACATCTCTGTGGCAAAAAGAACACTAGACCAGCCACACTAGATCAGACTGAAGGTCCATCTAGCTGTGGCCAATGCCAGATGCTCAGAGAAAATGAACTGAAAAGAGCTAATCATCAAATGTTCCATTTCCCATTGCCCAGGGGGTATCTTCCCTATCCATCCCACTAATAGCCATATTCATCCTCCTGTATATTCATCCTCCATTAACTTTAGTTCTTTTTTGAACAGATTGACTGTGTATATGGTGAAAAAATACTTCCTTTTGTTTGTTTTAAACCTGCTACCTATTCATTTCATTTAGTAACCCCTAGTTCTTTGAGTGATTGCTCATGTTCATTCCATTTAGGTCTATGCATGCTGCAAACATGATTGTCGGAAGGTTTTCCCCTCAGTGGTACCCGATAGGCCAGCAGGGGAGCCCTCTGGAGTGGTGCCTCAATAACAGCACATATATATCTGTGCTGGCCCTCCACTCCCTCAGTTCCTATCTACCCCATTATAGGTTATTTCATTTCCTAGGGACCATTAACATCTTTTTACACACCCTCCCCCCGGGTGCAAGCAGCTAGCCACAGAAAGAGGCAGGAACAGGTAACACCAACCTGCATGACCAAGGAGACCAAAAAACTTGACCTACTAGGCTGAAAGGTCTATGTTACTGGTGGCCTACAGCTTTGTATTGCACACTAGCAGACAGTACTAAACAAATATGCATATAATTCATGGGTGTCCTTGGGGAAGTTGAAGGAACTCCTCCCTTCTGACTAGACAAGAGTTTGAAGGAGTGAGGGAGGAAGGCAAGGTCATCTCATACAGGTGGCACTGGACTCTAATGTTTCCACTGCCCATACCACGGCCACAACAGTGGTCATGTGTAGGAACTCATAGTTGCAGGTATCAGGCATCCCACCTGAAGTCCAGAATACAATTCAGGACATATCATTTGAGCGGTCATGCCTCTTCTCTGATTAGACTGATTCCAAGCTCCATAGCTTAAAAGACTCAGGAGCTACCTGTATGTTGCTGGGCATCCATACCCCAGTGTTACAAAGGAGTCCATTTAACCCCTGACCGCCAACACACTGTATCAATCTGGCCCTAGATAGGATTTTGGTAAGTGTAGGGGCAGGAACGCCAATGGTAGGAATGGCAGAAGTGTTCCAGGTCTGCTTCAGACCAGGGTGCAGCTCCTCCAGCATGGGTCAAGGCCCCAAACCACAATTTTGAAAAGTACTCCTGGGGACAGTGTTGCAGTCCTACCCTTGCATTGTTCCTTTATCAATCATCTATCCCACTTCCACAATGCCTAGTCACAGATTACATCGGACTGCCGAGTCTGGACACAGTGGAAATGGGCTATTTTATCCCACCCTGTTCCCTCCTACCTTCCCATCCCCCTTCCACATCCCTCTTCAGTAACCCCTCTCAAAAGCATCTTCTCAACCAACAGGTGCAGTTGCTTCTTGTATTAGAAGCAGTAGAGGAGGTGCCTCCCGAGTTCAGAGGCAAGTGGTTTTACTCCTGATATTTCCTACTCATGAAAGCCAAAGGTGGTCCCTGTCTCACACTGGACCGCAGAAATCTCAATGCCTTTATTCAGAAGACAAGGGTTCAGGATGGTTCATTATCCCTTCCTTCAATCTAGGGACTGGCATGCTGCCCTCAACCTGAAAAATATGTCCTTTCGTATCTCTAGCATTCTGGCTCACAGACGTTTCTTTCATTTTACAGTTGGCTATTCTCATTATCAGTTTATGGTGCTTTCTTTTGGCCTTCCCACAAAGTGGTCATGAATTGCATGGTAGTCATGACCACCTTTCTCAGAAAGTGTCGGGTACAGTTATTTCCACGCCAGGATGAATGGCTTATTGGGGGTATTTTGGCTGTTCAAGTGTTAGAACACATAGCACTGGTGAGGGCTACATTCCTCCACTTGGGGCTCAAGCTGAACAGGCCAAGTCCATCCTCGTCCCCACGCAGCAGATGGAGTTTGTGGGAGCCTTACTAGACACCACCCATGCCACGGCTTTCCTCCCTAGGGCTTGCTTCTTAGCGATAAAGGACATCATAGAATGCCTTCACTTCTCACTGATCACAATGGCCAGAAATTGCATGAGGCTGCTGGGCCACATGGTAGCAGTCACATAGGTCATGCAACATTCCAGGCTAAGACTACATCCCTGCAGGTGTGGCTCGCTTGGGTGCACAACCCCGCCCACCACTCGCTGGACATGGTGATCACAGTTCCTTCCTAGGTCATGCACTCCCTGACCTGGTGGCCGCAGGAAGGAATGGTCTGCAGAGGAGTACTATTCACCAGACCATACCCTTCTATCCTGGTGGTGACAGATGCTTCCAACATGGGATAGGAAACACACATAGGAGACCTGAAGATTCAAGGTATGTGGTCTCCAGGGAAACTATCACTGCACATAAACACCAGGGAGTTAAGGGAAGTACACCTGGCATGTCAGACGTGCCTACCCCACTTGAGAGGGAAGTGCATTTTAGTCCTGACAGACAATATAGCAGGGATGTTCTATATAAACAGACGAAGTGGTGCTCTTTCCTTTCCCCTCTGCCAGGAAGCCCTAGACTGTGGGAGTTTTGTATCCAACATGCCATCCAGAGGGAGGCCACGTACCTCCAGGAAACACAAAATGTGCTCCCAGACAGACTCAGCTGGTCATTTTAAACACAAGTGGTCCCTCAGAGTGGATGTAGCCCTACGCATTTTCTCCAGGTGAGGGTATCCCCCTCTACATCTCTTAGCAACAAACAGCAACAGAAAATGCCAAAGTTTCTGCTCTTTCCTAAATCACAGTGTGGGATCCCTGGGGGATACATTTCAGGTACCCTGAATGTCCCACCTCCTACACACCTTTCCCCCCTTCCCTCTCATACAGAGAGCTCTCCTTAGGGTGCAGAGATACAGATCTTCTCTAATCCTGATGGCATCAGTCTGGCCTCACCAGCATTGGTTCACCATGCTCCTGGAGCTCTCAGTGGAAGAGCCTATAGACTTCTCCATGTTTCTAGACCTAATCCCCTAAAACC